CCTAAAAAGGAAAGAAGAAAGAAAGAAGAAAGAAAGAAAAAAAAAATTAAAATAAGATAGTAACTATTGTTATTGCTAGGCGAATATTAAAAAAATGGCTTCCACTACAAAGATTACCTAATATTTAAAACCAACTATTATGTTGTCTTTTGCACACTTTAATTGTTATTGGTATCTTTTAGCTTCTTTTCATTTACATATCAGCCTTTGGTAATTGCTACTTTATTTTATATGCTTTTTATCTTTAAGTTTGTGCCTAAAGCATCATTCAATTTTAAATCTTGTGAACTTTAAAAATGTGTAAATTTTGAAAATTTTAGAAATCATTTGATATAAAATTGAATTTCATTTTTAGTAGAATTATATGATTTAAATTTTGTGTCTAATAAAGTCTTGAATTTTATAAAATGTAATTTATGTTAATGACTAATAAGATAGATAATTTTGCGTGCATAACTCTTATACATTATTTCATACATAGCTTAGTCTTCATGACATGATGTAAGGAGGTTTGTGCATTATATAATATCACTTTCATAACAACTTCATACTTTGTGACATGAAAACATCTTAACATAACTTACCATGGCTTGAGTATTTCAAGAAATACTCACTAAGAGACTTTATTATTGAGATCAGGGAATGCAAACGCATGCAATCATGAATATGGAACCATCATTTAAAATTATAGTCTCTTAGGTGACCTCTAGTCCAGAAAAATTGGATGTGTAGTAGCTCTCTACACATGACCCACACGTACAAACATGGGCCTACTAGGTGGGCTCATATTGGTTTGTGGCTGAAAAGACCTATGTTGATTTGTGAGGATCGTTTTCACTCTTAAAAGCAAGGAGTAAAGTGACCATGTCACAAGAAATACAAAGGAATATCACGCTGATCATGTGTTGTATTCGAATTCAGAATTCTAAGCATGATTTAGTACGCTAAACTTTAGATTTAACCTAAAAATATTTAATAATTAAGTCTAGAAAATCCTAACCTAAAAATATTTAATAATTAAGTCTGTAGACAACCGATTTTAAAATTTGAGTTTCCCTTATGTAAGGGACACAAAAAAAATTTAAAATTAGTAATATTGGAGGCCTGTTAAAGTATTAAGAATGTTACTTTATCATATTAATATGTAATGAATCTTTTTTAAATTTAAGAACATATCAGGCAATTGTGCTCTTAGAAATTCGATTAGGCTTAAAAAGCTTTTTGAGTGACGTAGAAATGTGAGATGTGATCTAAACTGCCTAGACACCCTAAGAACCTAGTAAATCTCCACAACACCTAAGAAAACTTAAGTCGGTTTACACGGCCATTAACAGGGTGAATGATATCATAGAGCCCGACCACCTCCAATTCCCTCTAAACCTAATTCAAATAAGATGACATACCAAGGCTACTTGAGGAGTTACTATTGTGTGTAGAAATGGGTTGAGAGCGATTCCGTAAACCCGACCTAATAGGGGACAAGGTATTACATAAATAGTTTAGCTGATGATGAGTTCTTAATCAAGGATACTAGTCGTTCACTATTGTTACAATCCAAGCGGACTAATTCTAAAGAATGAAAAAATTGTTCACCTTAGAGATGAGATATGGCCGTCCAATAGACCTGCAGTGCCAAAACCCAATAAACAACTTCTAAACTATGATTGAGTTTGTGACAGGTAAGAGAACCACTTGGAACTTCGAGGTCTTCTCAGAAGCTTAGATAAATGTAGAAAAGTTACGCCCAAACTTCCTAAAACTTAAAGAAAAGCCCATGGGTATCTTACTAAAAATTAGATGAGATAAAGAGCCTACAAATAGACTCTCTACTGAGTATTTTTGTCATCTGTGTATTTTAAATTTTTTTATGTTTTATTTGAATTGTACTCCGAACACAGACTCGGAACACATTCTTCATTTATTTTTAAATGTAGTTTTGTTTGTCTTAAATTGCACCGAACTTTACTGGGAAAACTTCCTAAAACCTAAAGAAGAGACCATGGGTATCTTTCTAGGAATTAGATGCAACAAGAGCCTACAAATTGTTTTATTTGAATTGTACTTCGAAAACATACTCGGAACACATTCTTCATTTATTTTTAAATGTGGTTTTGATTGTCTTTAAATTGCACAAAACTTTACTAGGAAAATTTCCTAAAACCTAAAGAAAAGACCATGGGTATCTTACCCCTATACACCCCATTCTACATTTCTTTTTTACTTGTTTGTTGACTATTGGTTAAAGGTAAGAAGCATTCGAGAATTGTGTGGTCACAGAGAGGATCGTCCCCAAGGGGTTAGTGTCTATGTATTTTGAATTTTTGAACATGTTCTCCATTTATATGGAGAGTGCACACATCCTAAATAGGTAGTTATTCGAACTTACGTATGCGAAGTCGCTGACATCCAAGGTAAACCACCTGTCGTCAACCTCACAATAATATGAGTTGTCAGAAGTTAGATTTCAACTCAAGCCCTCACAAGAGGACCAGAATTTGAGTCTAGTGCCTTAGACCACTCGATCATCTTGATTACTTATTGTGGATCTTGACTGCTTATTGTGAGATATCACATTGGTTGGAGAGGGAAATGAAGCATTCTTATAAGGGTGTGGAAACTTTTCCCTCGTAGACACATTTTAGAATTGTGAGGCTGCCAACGATATATATTGGATCGAAATAAACAATATCTATCCCTAGTTGAAGAGGAGAACGAATCATTTCTTATAATGGTGTGGAAATCTCGCCTTAGTTGATGTGTTCTAAAACTGTGAGGCTGACGGTGATATGTAACAAGCCAAAATGGACAAATATCTGCTAGCAGTTAAAGAGGAGAATGAAACATTCTTTTTAAGGGTGTGGAAACCTCTCCCTATTAGACATGTTTTAAAACTATGGAACTAATGGTGATATGTAATGGGCTAAAGAGAACAACTAGCGGTGGTCTTAGGCTGTTATAAGTGGTATTAGAGCTAGTCACCAGGTGGTGTGCTAGAGAAAACGCTAGGCCTCCAAGGGGGTGGATTGTGAGATCTCACGTCTGTTGGAGAGGGGATGAAACATTCCTTGTATAACTGTGTGGAAAACTCTCCCTAGTAGACACGTTTTAAAACTCTGAAGCTGTCAGCAATACGTAACGAGTCAAAGCAACAATATCTATTAATAGTGGGCTTGAGTTGTTACAAATTATTGGCCGAAATAACTCAATTTGTTAGAGCTTCTGGCTCTTAACCACAAGGTCAGAGGTTCAAGCCCTCCTTTTAGTTCTAGCGATGGGAATAAAGAAACCTCACCGTGGTATTAAACTCTTGAATAAACTCTCCAACACAAGACCACGCTTCCTAAACTGGATCGAATCGAAATCCGAATTTTAATATTAATGATGATGAACGTATGAAGGTCAAATGTTTGACTACGGACAACTAGTCGAACTATGATGGGTCCAGGGCATGCAAACCACCTGGGGACTCACGCTCGCTCGCACATGTGCGCTATATACAGGAAAGTACTACACATCCAATCAAACCTAGGGACTCACACTAGCACATGTGCTCTGTGTAGAGAAACCTAGGGACTCACACTAGCACATGTGCTTTGTGTAGAGAAGTACTACACATCCAATCAAAATTCTTTTAAGCTTTTTTTATTAGATTCATGTTTGTGTCTAGTTTGAGGAAGGATAAAAAATTTCATGAGAACTGAAAAGGGTCCACAAATTGATCCAAAAGTGTAGAAAGTCTACATAGGTCTACTTTTGACTTTTGTTGGTCAAAGTTTGACCTTATTACTTTCGGCTTATCTTCTTCCTTGATTGCTAGAAAATCACGGTAAAAATTCTTCATTTTTGCTAAAATTAAAAAGCCACATAAGGAATTTCTTCATTCTTGCTAAAATTAAAATTTTGTTCATTCTTGCTAAAAAAATTTCATTTTGGTAATTTTATTTTTATTTTCTCGAAATTTCTTCTATAGTTAATTAAAATCCAGAAAGCTTCCTAAAATTAGAAAAATGACATTTCTTTTAGCTAACTTTTTTTCTTTCCAATCTTTCTCCAAAGCCCTTCTCCTTTAATTATTTGTTATGACTGTGAAATGAGTTGGTTAAGACACTTTTACTTGCTTAAATTCCTTAATAATTTTTCTTGGATCTCTTTGGTCTTAAATCCTGTTATAGTTCTTAAATCCTGTTATAGTTCTTAAATCCTGTTATAGTTGGGTCTTACCATTGAAGCCCAAGAGAAAAACATCGGAAAAGAAGGGAGGGTGTTGAAGGAAGGAGAGGAGAAAGAGACAAGAAGAAGAAGAAAATAGTTTGGGTTTGAGTTTTCGTGACTTTTCACGATATACAACTAAATGGGTCTGTTAGGATCGATACCAGTTGTTAGCTCTGATACTAATTATTAGGATCGCAACGCACACACTCGATTAAGATGAACAGAAATAACAGAAGAGAGAAAATACAAAAAGAAATATTAGCTAAAGGTTTTATATTAATGACTTTAGGTATTGTACAACCACAGACAATAGACAATAGACAATGGAGAAAGTGCATGTTGAGAGAACCACAGACAATAGAGAATGAAGAAAGTACATGTTGAGAGAGAGCACGTAGATATATGGTTTCAATTTACTATATATATAGTTTTCAAATATTTAAACCTCCTAAATATAATCTAACCAATATATCTTATATGTTTCAAATATATCTAAGTCAAATCTCTACCATATATATCTCTATCATATTTTACTAAATATGTTCCAAATATATCTATACCAGATCTAGGCATCAGGCTCCATATCCCAACAGGGTCGACATAGGTTCAAAAAAATGTTGGGAGAAGTGAAACACGCTTCATTCAATTCCCTAAGTGCTAAAAGAAAACATTGTCATAATTTCTATTAGGTCACTTTTCTTTTACTCATTGATACGATAGACTATGGAGCGTAAAAATATCTCTAAACGTACAAACGCTTTGACGCTTGTCAATTTCCTAAGCAACAATTGGTTAATCTAGGTATATGTTCAAATTTTCCAACTTAACTTAAAATAACATAAACTAAATTTGAAATATACAAACTAAAAACAAAATGAAATCTAAGAACCAATAAAAAACAAAGGCTTGTCACATTCAAATATTTCTAATCGAGGAAGACGGTGAATTGTCACGATTGAGATGTCTCACTTCCCCTCCCTGGCAAACTGCATTCTTTGTCAATTTGTTTTAGCTCTTCATTAACTTTTTGCTCTCTGTTCTTTCCCCATAGCACACTGTAGAGACCTCCAATCAGTAAGAGCCCACCTATACCACTACAACCAAACAAAAAGATGTTAAGAATGAGATAGGAAATAGAATTGGGAAGGTGTGTATTATCATTGATATTGAATCATAAAGGAAAGAATATTAAGATATAATATCTACGATATATTCAATAAATAATATATCTCAACACTCCCCCTCAAATTGGAGAGTATACGTCAATCACATTCAACTTGTCTTGAACTTGTTTTTACAAGTGTAGGTCAATAACACCCAAGTTGTCTTTGAGAAGAGAGTGTAGGTCAATAATACTTTTGTCTTCACAGTAGTGAAAATATCCGACAAAAATAGACCGTAATGATTGACTGAGGATTGATAACTTGTCCCATTTAATTTGATTTGGAACAAGTGAATATCCTCCCTGATCACTTCTTGGTCCATGCATAAATGATTTACTGGATAATAACACCAAGATCGGTGCTCTAGATCACTTGAGAGGTTGTGAAAGAAAATACGAACATCTTGAATATGTTACCTTTGAGCTTGATGAGAAAGTTGAAGATGCTTATAACGTATTCTTGATATTGGATGATCGGCGGCTGTAAAGGCTTCACTGATTAGTTAGGGTTTGGCTTTAGGTTTAATACTCCCCTTAGACTCAGAGTCCAAGAGATATTAGAAATACCATGATCGGTGCTCTGATATTAGGAATACAAAGATCGGTGCTCTGATACCATGTTAAGAATGAGATAGAAAATAGAATTGAGAAGGTGTGTATTATCATTGATTTTGTTATCCTTTAAATAGGATACAAGCTAGTACAAATGAGTAAAATATAAAATAATTAAATATTAAGAATAAAATAAAATATACTTAAACCAAATCATAAAAGAAAGAATATTAAGATATAATATCTACGCTTAAGATGTCTCACTTCCCCTCGCTGGCAAACTGCATTCTTTGTCAGCTTGTTTTAGCTCTTCATTAACTTTTTGCTCTTTGTTCTTTCCCCATAGCACACTGTAGAGACCTCCAATTAGTAAGAGCCCACCTATACCACTACAACCAAACAAAAAGAAACAAAAAAACAAGATTCATATGAATTATTGTGCAATTTATTTCAAAGAGTGTTGTTTTGAAATAATAATACGTCCAAGTTACCAAAATGAATGATTTCAAAGAATGTTCGAGAAAAAAGAGCAATCTAAAAAAGAAATCGAGGACTGGAACTCAATCTCATATAAAATGAAAAGACGAAATTCTCAAACATTAAGATGACTTTTAAGTATACATAGAACTTGTTCAAGATGCTCTCAAACTCCTTTCTTGATGTTGTTGGATCAAATCTTAATTTATGTTTAAGCTTGACTTGTATATTAATCCTGGAGTATTTATAGTCATGGAGCTTTTCTAGAAGAAGTTACTTATCAATCAAGTTATTTTGTTATTTATTTCATTTTTTGTTTCTATTTCGATTATTTATTTGAGTGTACTTCGATCAAGGGTCAAAACCAATATCTGGTATCAAAACCAACATTTGCTAGTGCTACGAGTTTCGGAGATCGAGAGAAGGTCCGTCAGTGGAATAAACCATAAGTAGTTTTTCGTTTCAATATTTATTTTGAAGCACGTTTATTTTCAGCGGGTCTGTTAGTAGCCAATCCAAAGTTTAGATTATCATCAAAATGATGTTGAGATTACATGGAGGAGAGTGTCATAATTCATGATGTGATTGTGCCCTTAAGAAAGTCATCGAGAACGATAACTAGTTTAAATGAGAGAGAATATCACAACCAAACTATGAAGACAGGAGATTGTGATCCCCACAAGCAGATAGACAATGTAGCTACTCTCAAATGGCACCCATCTTACTACATGAGTGCCAAAATAGATAAGTGTTATGGTGCCACGTAGGAGAACAGTGCATCATCCACACACCATAAAAAGTAAAGCCACACTTAGGCCTTAACCTCCAAAGTTGGAGTTCCCGTGTAATTTTTGTTATATGGCTCTTTGTTAAGTCTATCCTTATGAAATGCAAGTGCTTGCCAAATTTGGTGTCAATCGAACAATCGATGGACATCCCACGAGGGCATATAACCATCTTAAAAATCATGTCTACTCCTGCTAGACCAAAAATGCCTCAAAATGTACTAGAACGGGAAGCTAGTATCAGCTCTCCACCACCTTTTGGCCCTATGGCCTAAGTGAGATACCCTGTGGCATATACGTATGTCACAATATGGGCAAGGGTTGCAAGACGAGTGTCTTTAGATTCTTCCTTTTAAAATGTGTTTTTCAAGGACAATGTTAAACGACACATTTATGCTAACATTGTGACCAGCCCATATGTTAGAGGTTGATATATTCACCCGCTATCCAGTACGGTATCCATAGATGACTTGACATGGACAATATAAGGTTCTTTCTTCAATTGAACCTGGATGGATGAATGTTTGAGATGTCCTGACGATACAGTGGACTCATAGAGTCGGTTCTCGACAAGCGTATCCAAGCGAGAAGTTCGGGTAACAATTGAAGTATCTAATCCAAGCCTAATTAATGGCTTGAAATCATTTTGAACAAGTCCTATAGCTGAATTCTTCTCCATGCTTTAGAACTTTATCCATTGAAAATAGTATCGACTTTACATCTCCTTGACAGGGATGTTCTTCTCTGAAATCTTGATAATAGAGCGCTAGAGTTAGAATGGTTTCATGATGGTTTCATGATAACGAAGCCTATGACTTTTTTAGTAGGTCGAACACCTAAAGATTATGAGAAGCGATCAGAGAATAGAACCCTAATGCTTCTAGAACCATATTAGAAACTAGCTAAGAAACTAGCTAACCTCCACGATGCTAAGAAAGCTTAAATGCCTATAGTTGTTGTGGACAGTATTACCAGAGCCAGACTGCTTCCTATTCCCTTTGATACATCATTGGTGGTATATAGTAACCTATATTGGACTTAATAGTGCTCTTGCCAAGCAGCAGGTATTTAGGAACTTGTACCATCAAGCCTGACGCATATTAGTTAGATAGGATAATGCATTGAGGCTACGAGTTAGGTATCCCCCATCGTGTGTTGAAATAGGTCAAGGGCCTCCTAAACATGGTTGCAACTCTATATATTCATTCTCAAAGGGAATAAGGGACTGCATAGGTAGTCTCAATAGCTAGCCGACATACGGATCCTCTAGGTATACTCTTGTGGAAAGGTCATCAGTTAACTTAATACAAATACATGATGCCATAATTTCCTATTTATGAGATGATTAGGATGAGGTCTACCCTCCCGAATCCGAGATACCAATATTCACTTCCATGGTAATAAAATCTAGCTAAGTCTAAATAACATAAAAGTTGGTTCATCCTAGAGCTCAGATATGTCTGCTAGTAGATCAGTGGTGCCATAAAAGGTGAAAAACTTCCAAATCTTTATTGGGTTTTTGACAAGCACGAGAATGACTCAAAACTTCGAGAGCTCTCAATAACTCCGATAATTATAAAATCTAAGCTCAAACTTCCTATAACCAAGAGAAAAATTTGTGATAACTTACTAGGTTAAAGATGAGGTTAGAGCATTAAACATCTTTATACTCATCTCATGCTACTTTTCTTTTTCAAGATGGGAAGGGTTGGTGAGTTATGGAGTTAAAAAGGAGAGTCATCCTAGGGTATCAATCCTGTGTTAGGGGTAGTTCTTTATTATTTTTTTTTTAATCACATTCTCTAGTCCCAATTTTGTAATAAACTTTTGGACTAACAATTGTATTTTGTCTTGTCTTGTAAACGTGGTATTGTTTGTTTTTAAATTACAAAAAAATTTATTGTATTTTTCTTGTCAGTTCATTGAAAGTTCGTGATTCAAAGGCTCGAAAATTGGATTGTAGTACTTACTATCGAGACCACCAAATATTAGCTATACAAACTTATATGATCAATCTTGCTTGTAGAATGATTTCAATCTCAAACAAATATTTTTGTCTTCACATATTTGATCAATAAGGTAATCCAAATCTTATTTACTCTTAGAGTGATTCTTTATAAGTTTGATTTTTTTAAATATATTTAGATTTAAAGATCTTATTTTTCAAGAAAGTTGTTAAATCAAACTTGAAAGACTTATAATCATTTGAAATGAAATCATATTAATTTTGGAACTATAACATTTAGCTTCTAGTTTGTATATAGCTACTAGTTTGTAGTTTGTATATGATGAAGGTTCTAAGATTCAACATAATTAACGAATTGAAGATTAAATATGCAAAAGCTCTGCCAAGGACGAGATAGAAAAAAAAGCATTTTAAATGGTAAAAGCCATTAAAATATACTATTTTGAAAATAAGACTGAAACAAACCCTTTAAGTTACCTTCCAAGGCTGACACTCTCGCCAAGAAGAAGAGCAGAAGAAATAGTTGTAATGACAAGAATAATCGGCGTTGACATGGCTAAAAAAACTGGTCCTTTCTTCTTAATGACCCATGTTTGAAGAGAATATGTAACTCCAGTTGCCACTATTCCCTGCATCAAATATTATGATATTATTGATTTGCTATGTATGTATATAAAAATGGTGAAAAAAATGGAAATAGTTGTCCAAGTCAATCTCAGAGGGGTATTTTAGTCCTTTATGTTCTCCATCTAGAGTATCAGGTTCCAAATTCAAATCATTATCAATAATTCTAGCCATGAGACATTACAAATGGTATCAAATTAGTATCTCTCCTAGTAGGATGTAAATCGAGGACGAACCAAGGCAGAAGCTGATGGGCATTTGACACTCTAGTAAAGGATGTGTACGTGAACAAATTGAAACCACATCCAAATGAAAGTAATTTTGAGGATAGGATCATTGAGAAAGATTAAAAAGAATTGAAGTTACTATCTATACCAACAAGGTGCATTCTCCTTTTTAGTGGCTGAACGATAAGAAGTCTAAAACTAAGCACGCTTAGTTTTGATTAATTTTAGGTTGGGCGACCTCTCGAAAATTTTCCTAGGAAACATGTGAGTGAGGATAAACCAATCCAAAACCACTAGTTTTGGTTGTGGAAAGACTTCACTCATGATAAGTTTTCTAGGACCTTGTAAGATACAATCACAATGATAAGTTTTTAACACAAACAAAATGAAACTAAATATTATATTACCAACAAAATAACTTACACAATATGCGACTGAAAGAAGTCTAAGATTCCAACCCAATTTCCATTCGTCAAGGTTTCTCTCCAAAGCAATGGCAATAGCGAACGATTGAAATGAGCTAACAAGGCATTGAAGACTAGTGAATAGAAGTGTCGAAGGATAACTTTTCAGTACAAACGCCTGCGTTAAACCAAAGAAGTCGTGATAAATTTTTTTACGATCATTCATACAAAGACATTAAAAATAATTATGAAGTAAGTACCTGAAGGACAAGTGATAAAGCCCACAAGGTATTTGAAGCCATCATTAGGAAGCAACCCTTAATCCAAGTTTGGGTTGAAGCAACATGAAGTGGATTTTGATGATGTTTGTGTATAGAAAAAAGATGGTGATTGTTAAAGAATGTGAGTTGAGGGCCTTTGTAGAACACCAAAACCAACACACCGCCCATACAAAATACTATTCCTCCAACCTTTGCTAATCCTACTGTTGACTTTAGCCTCAACACCTCCACCCTGCCAAACATTTTTTTCCTTAGAGGTTAACAATAAGGAAAATATAGCAATGGAAACGCTGGAATGTAATGCTTTTAAGTATCGGATAATCTTTTTCGGGTCGGCTTTAGCTATAAATAATTTTAAATGTAAGGTCAATTCTAAAGAGAATAAATAGAAATAAGAATGTAGAGGGCTAAAGGTCACTATAGGGACCAATGTAGAAAGATGGAGGATCTAAAGGTCACTGTTGTGCATGAATCCTTAGTTTGTATTAAAGTGATATAGAGTATATAACTACACATGAATTGGTTGTAGATAGTGCAACATTGAGACACATAGTTCAAATAGACGTTTGTTCACATCCTTCATCGCAAGTTATCATGGTCTCATGAGAATGATAAAAGAGTAAACTTTCTCAGGCGAATGAAATTTGGCATATCGTTACGTATCACTGTCAGCCTCATAGTTTTAAAATATATCTACTATGGAGAGGTTTCCACACTCTTATAAGAAATGTTTATTTTCCCTCTCCAATCGATGTGGAATCTCACAGAGTTACAAGTGTAAATTTGGTAATCTTCTACGTAAACTCGGAATAGAAACCTATGTGGTGTCAGATGGGTACAAAAAGTCTATACACTACATATGTTGATTAAATGTTGTATGATACTTATGTTGGATATGACCCATGATCGAAATATGTCAAAACAAACCATTGAAGTAGAAAGAACAACTTGAACTTGAACGGAGAGATATTTTGAATAGAAGAACCTTAAGCATAGTATACATCTCATATTTATAGTGGAAAAGGCACTAACAAATTTCCTAAAACTTCCGGTCAAGTAAGAAAATATTAACAATTTTGTTAAACAAAAGACTAACAATTTTGTTAAACAAAAGACTAACAATTTTCTTAAACTTATAAGTCAATAAGTACTAACAATTTTCCTAAAATTAGATTAATAACTTATTTTGCTAAGTCAAGCTTACTAGTCACACTCTTTTCTGTAAGATTGACTTTGCTCGAGATTCTTTACTTTTAGCAACTCTCGCATGTCTGCAAATTTAGCTCTCGCATTCTTCTCCATAAGCTTAACTTTTCTTGGAACGCATGATGCTTTGAGCATAGATTTTCAGACCGTATCGAAGGGCAAGTCCTCAAATGCGGATTCAGACTACGTCACTTGGAATGCATGAAGCCTTAGACGTAGGTTAAAACTGTGTTGCATGGAACATATGAAGCCTTGGACACAGGTTGTCAGGTTCATGACTCGTACTGTAAATCCTAAGGGGAGTGTCTTGGATAACGAACCAAGAACAGAACAAGAACCTAGAAAGTACCAAGAACAAGACAACAATCAAGGACTAGAACATGGATCAAGATCCAAGTTCTAAAAACAAGAACCAAGAACTTAGAACCATAGTATTAAGGCCCTTAGATCAGAACAAAGGTTTCAAAATCCATGAACCAAGGTCCTCGATATAGAATCATGATAAGAACCCACAAGTCAAAAACAAGACTAAAGGGCCTAAGTACTTACAACAAGGAAAAGAACAATAAAAGAAAGAGTATGGTACCCTAGCATATCAAGGACACAATTAAGAGCCTACAAGTAGGCTACTTATTGAGTCTTTGTATTCATTCTTTATTTTCCATGTTTTTCAGGTAATAAGGAGTTGGTCGAGGTGGGGAGCGGACTCTAGAGTAGGTGTCGACAAGCCTCACCCGTTGACCTTAACCCCTTTATTTTAAAATGTTTTGTGTTCTTTCCTTTTTTTTTTGTGTTTTAACTGTTATATTGTATTATGTTTTAATTACTCAGGTATGAACACTATTTTTTTTATAATATATATTATATTTTAAATTTCTTTTATTTTATTTCGTAAAAAGTTTACCCTTTCTTTTTTAGAGTCATCAAGTCCGACCAGTCCTTACAGAAGACTATCCCAACAGATTAACGCAGTTCCCTTAGGAAGTTTTATAGGAGGTTACCTAACATAAAATTGCTCCAAAGAAGGCACAATTAACTCCGGAATTCTTATGATTGAGTCATCGAAAGTAAGACGTACCTTGTTGGTATAGACAGTAATTGTTTTCCGTGTCATTTTATCCTCAAAATCATTCTCATTTGAACGTGGTTTTAGTTCATTCATGTACCTCTATTTTATTTGAGTGTCACTTTATGGATATAATTGAACTCTTCAAGATCTTTGAAGATTTCATCCCTTGAGAAGAGATGTATTGAGTCCAAATCTCTTTTGACAAGGATATTTTGACACAGATGTTGAACAAAGTTGAAGATGTTATGCTGGTTGATTTACTTTGGATCTATCTTTGTGGGGTATTTTAGTTCTAGAGTTCCTTCTAGGTCTTGAATCTTGAGGGCTTCATTTGTAATGAACTTGAATGTGCAAATTGACGATGATCTATGTTGATTCTTTATTTCTTTGTCGGATCGCTCCTTGTGGGGAGATTTCTTTGAAATCATTGTTCTTAGAAGCTTGGTCATAATGATAAACTTAAAATATCATGGTTGAAACAATCTTAACCTAATTCTAAGAAACTATAAACTCTTAAGAACTTTCCAAGTACTTATTTACTCTAGACTTATTATTACTAAACCAACGATTTGCTTCGATTACCAATCAAAGTAAACAAATAAGTGGACACGAGGATTGATCTCTAAAGAATACAGTTGGATAGGATAAAGATATAATTTTTTAAACATATCTTATATCATAAATTAAATTGGAGAAGAAATTTTGAATTGATTGATCTCTTAATGGCTTATATATAAAAAGTGCTAGCAAATATTGTTTCAGTTTCCCTTTTGGGCTTACTCTTTAGGTTTTTAAAACGAGTCTGCTAGGAAAAAGTTTCTACACTCTTATAAACAATGTTTTGTTCTCCTCTCAAATCGATGTGAGATCTCACAATCCGCCCTCCTTCAAGGTCCAGTGTCCTCGTTGGCACTAGTTCTCCCAAGCCCACCGTTAACTAATATTGTCCTCTTTGGACTTTCCCTTTTAGACTTTGCTTCAAGGGTTTTAAAATACGGATGTTAGGGGGAGGTTTCCACACCCTTATAAAGAAAGTTTCATTCCTCTCCTCAATCGATGTAGGATCTCACAAAAAGTATGGCTCTTATTGGCTCTAATATCATGTGCTCGACTAGTTATTGAGAGTACAATGCTTCGATACTTAGACCGATGAGAATTAGGAAGGAGGATCGAAAGAAAGTTTTGTTACCAAGGTAGGGTTCATAAAATCAAAGTTTTTGAAAATTTTAAAGTGTCTAACAAATCTATAAAAATTCAATTTTGTGTCTCATGTGTCCCTAAAAATTAAAAAACTATTTGATAGATCTTTAATTTTATAAGTTCACAAACCTATTAAATGATTATCCCAACCTTCAAGAACATATTAAATGTAACATTAGGTATCTCCTAGATCTTGTTTTAAGTTTAAGAATCTATTAGATATAACTCTAAGAACTTAAAAGAAGAGGGCTGGTCCTTTAAAGACCAAACTAGAATTTTAACGTGTCATTTACCTGAATAGAAGGGCGAAAAGAAAGGTAATGACAGGAATAGCATTTATAGTTGCTGCAGCTAAACTTGCTGATGTATAAATAAGAGCAACCCCTTGAAGATCAAGACATATGGTTATCCTGCAAATAGAATCACTATCAGCTGTCATAGATTATTAATGCTTTTGTTCAATCACGTTAAAAAATTATATTCACTAACGTTAAATTATGAGTTAACCGATCCATCTAGATTACTCGACCTAAACCATAAATAATAGGTTGGGTTTTTTTAGTTAGGTTAAATTTTTTAAAAATCGAAAATTCGGGTCAGTTTACGAATTGAGATTTCTTTTTTTTTTTTGTCACGTCAATCCAACCAACTTGACCCACCCATTTTTTGTTCAGGTCGACTCGGCCAACTCGACCAACCCAAAAATAAGGTTACAATCCAACCTTACCCTACTTTACTTTTAAGATTATTATGAAAATTAATAATATTTAATTTTTAGAACTAATGTTAATGATGTGTCGCAACTTGTAAATGTTTGATATTTGAGTTTTATAAGATTTTAGTTATAAACACATGTATGGATAAGTAAGATTTTTTGTTTAAAAAAAAACAACCCGACAACCTAACCTCAAAACAAAAGGTTGGGTTAAATTGAGTTCTGAACTCTTTTTGAGTTGCTCGAGTCCCAATCCAACCAACGTTTTATTTCCAAGTTGGTCCAAAAAATTTCCTCAACCCAAAAGAACTGATCTAAGCTCTCGATCCGGTCTAGAGCTGGTATACACAAAAACCCTCTTAAACCAGTTTTAGACGGGGTCGAGAGCTTAGAACTACCATAAATTTTATCTTACCCGAGACGGAAACAAAGAAAGGATGGAGAAATAAAAGCATACCCAAATAAAGAAAGCATAAAGATCTTGGCGAAGGTTACAAATGAGAGGGGAGGCGCAGTTTTCCTGAGAAACAAACAGAAAATCAAAATCAAAGTGAGAAGCTAAGAAAATGAAGAAAGAAAAGCAAAATTGTAGAGTAAAAAAGAAGTACCATTCAAAATACAAAGCGATGGGTAGCAAGAACAGTGTGGCTATGGCTTGCCTATAGAAAACAAAGATAAAGTTGTTCATTCCGCCATCAAAGGCAGCTTTGGAGAGCAGAAACATTCCTGCATAAATGCTATGTCTGAGCAACACAGCAAAATAAGGTTTCTTTTCCATTTTCCTCAAATTGTGTAAGTTCATTGGTTCATAAAGATATCTTCCAAATTTATAGTGTTTTGGATTTGTATTGGCCACATGTTGGAGCATATGGAATGGCTTTATCCATCAATTATTACGCTATCATTTCCATTTCAAAAGGAATCAACTTTGGCACAAACTAAGAGGATTTTGTTCTGTTCAATTATTTACGATGATTACACTTTTTAAAAGGTCTAATTCTTTTATCCTTATACTTACCTTTATATATTATTACTATTACTATTAGTTTTGCATGAGGGGGTTGGTTCAAAAATACTTAAAAATTTTAAAAGTTTTATTAATATTATTCAATTTTATTTTAAAAAAATTAATGAGTACTGTTACTGTTTGAGTATGTTTAAAAATCATTTGCCCTTATTTTTTAAAGTTTATTAGTATTTTTTAAATTTTTTAAAAAGTAGAAGGTGTTTTCAAATTTAAAAAAAGTTAAGAAGTGTTTTAGATTTTTTTTTTTTTTTTTTAACTTAAATGTACTAATGAAAATTTTGAAAACTTAAAAGAGTATTTTTAAACACTTAATGATAGTTAAAAGGTATTTTTGAGAGTTTGAAAGATATTTTTGAAACAAAGTGTCACACCCCAAATTTTGTGGCATCAAAAATTTGGACGTGACTCACGAACTGTGCAAATGCATAACGAAAGTAAGAGAAAACAGTGGAAAAACGTCATAAACTTGTCGCGAATTGAAACTTTACAAAGTAAATTGTACTGTAGTGGAAAAAAATAAATAAAACAAGTATGTGTGTATGGTATGTACATTTAAAAAGGGGAACGAGGTAGGGATATACCGTGTAAAAAGAAATGTGGACTACAAAACTCGTGGACTCTATAGACGCCTCGGGCCGACATTTTTTTCTGACTATTGAACTCCCAAGCACTACCTTACCTCGACTCGCATCCTCATGGATCTTAAAAAGGAAAATTAGTACGGAGTAAGTATATAAAGATATACTCAGTAAGAAACCTACTTCTAACAGCCTAAGCCAACCGATAATAGATATTGTCCATTTTAGCCAATTACGTATCACCGTCAGCTTCACTGGTTTAGAATGCTTCTACTAAGGAGAGATTTGCACACCCTTACAAGGAATGTTTCATTCCCCTCTCCAACCGATGTGGATCTCACAATATTGTTACACTACTTATAGGCTCTCATCGCATTCTTGAACTAACAGATGACCACAGGTTACCTCTAGGCTCGTCGATCTTGATATGCAAAGTCCTTCTATCATGTTAGGCTTCACAACAGTGTATGATATTTGGAGTTGAGGCGCTACCTCAAACACTCTCACAATCAAGTGGGGACAACATGGTGAGCACTAGCCTGCTCGTCATCTATGGGAAGTAGTTGGCGAACCCATCCTACAGGTCATGGAGTCGCCCAAGGTCAGGGGCACTACCTCGTACATACCAGCTCTACTGATAACTTGCATGATCAACGCCTCTCATAGGTCAGATCCTCTACACAGGGTAGCCTTACTATTGGCACGATCGAAAGAATTGTCTTATGTATGATGACAATTGTCAAGTGGCCTATGCATGTGTCATGTGTTTGATATGATGTGTTATGATGATATGATATGTTACGATGATATGATATGTTATGATGATGTGATATGTTACAATGCTATGATATGTTAAGATGATATGATATGTTACAATGCTATGATATGTTAAGATGATGTGATATGTTACAATGCTATGATATGTTAAGATGATGTGATATGTTACAATGCTATGATATGTTATGATGACACGAGATGTATAACGATATGATACGTGATGATGATATATCATGTTATAATGATATATATGTATGAGATATCATGTTGCATTATGACATGAATATGTTTGGTAATGAAATGTATGACATACCACCATTTGTGGCAATGAGAAGTTTTCTGATGCACAACCCCTAAGTAATGTTATGAATGATGTAATGTATGAAAGCTTATGCATATATGTTAGCTAGGGTAATATGTGAGAAATGTATGGGGTTGTGTCACATAAATAGTTTAAGATGAAAGTATAGAGATCTCATGCATCGGGATACTTCCTCTTTTATGATGAGTAGGGACGCATACACTATAATAATGAGATGACCATTATGCTTGACATGATGCACGTCGATCATTGTATCTTCGGGCGTCCGGCTACAACCAACTAGCCTGGCCAACAGGGCTAGAGGGTGTGCAAGCCTGCCTTGTGAGCCCATGCTCGCACGTGTAGGTCGTGTGTAGAAAAGTACTACCCATCCAATTTGTTCGAACTAGAGGACACCTAAAAGACTATGGTTTTAAATGATAGGTCCATATTCATGATTGCATGTGTTTGTATTCACCGACCCTAATAGTGGGGTCACTTACTAAGTATTTCTTAAAATACTCAAGTCATGTACTACTTTTATATTTCAGGAAAGGTAAGGGACGGTTGTACGGTTGACGCTCGCACTAAAGACCATGAAACTTGCTTAGGATGGTTGCATTTATTTGCGTAGATCTTAGGTTACTATAGGGCATTGTTATTTTAATATTTTCCTTGGTTTTTATTTTAATTTATTTTGAATATTTCATTTGTATTGTTTGAAGACCCTTTCGTAAACGTAAAGTTTGTGGCATCGTTTTATGAATTTGTTTTACAAGAATGTTTCCGCATAAAGAAATTATGTCATGCATGTAATAGCGACTCTAGGCCTCTAGAAAATTAGGGTCCAAATATTCTTACCAAAGTCAAAACTTTTGATTTACTCTATTTTTGTGGCGAGCAAATCTCGGCTAGATACCAAACTTAAAACTTCAAGATTTTTTTTTTCCAATGCATCATGTTCAAGAATCAAACCTTATTAACCCAAGACTCAACGATTTTCGAAACTATTCCTAGACCAAACACCTACGGACTTACCTCGAGTTTTCTTGAACGACTTCTTGGCTAAGACTTTGACCCTTTTTTTAGTTTTTTATTTTTTGTAGGTTCCTCGAGGACTCATGAGCACTTTTTACCTTCTGTGGCAATCGAAGATTCAACCTCTAAGGCCCTTAATAAAATACCGGATGCTCAAAATTAAAAGGCAATTAAAAAGAAACTTTTTCGTATTTGTTGGGCTCTGGTGTTATACAAAGTATTAATGGTTTCAATTCAAAACTAATAGTAAAGGTATTTTTTAATTTTTTTTAATGTTTACAGGTATTTTTTTTAGACAAGATTTAATGTTCAAAGTATTTTTATTAATTTAGTCATTACATCTTTAAAATGTTTATGGTAAACTTACACCTAAAACATTTCATGCTCAAGATTTGAAGCAAGTATTAAAATTTGGAATCGACACCTAATTCGTCTGACATTCACATACTTCATAGAAAAAAGATTTAGAAGTTCACCCAACATTGGATTGATCCAAGAAAAAGACGCTTTAACTTTAGAGTTTTTATGATTGAGTTACGCGAAAAAGAAGGTGCACATTGTTGATATAAGTAACAATTTTCAATTGTTCAAGTCTTTTTTAGTCATCATATTCTTAAAATCGCTTTCATTTAAATATAATCTCGATTTATTTATGTATTTTTCAAAAACGAAAAAAAGAAAAAGGAGTATAAAACAAATTAAATAAGATAGTAACTGTTGTTGTTATTGCTCCCCGAATATTAAAAAAAATGCCTTCCACTACAAACACTAATATTTAACACCAACTATTGTGTTGTCTTTTTCACACTTTTATTCCTAAGTGCTACTTTATTCTATATGCTTTTTATCTTTAAGTTCGTGCCTAAAACATTACATTCAATTTTTAATTTTACATTTGATAGGTCATGTGAACTTTAAGAATGTGCAAAATTTGAAATTTTTAGAAATCAATCGTTTTATGTTTGATATAAAATTGAATTTAATTTTCAGTAGAATTATATGTTTTAAATTGTGTGTTTAATAAGACCTTGAATTTTATAAAATGTAATTTATGTCAATGACTAATAAGATAGATAATGAAAGTATAAGAGCCGATCGGTCATAAATTTAAAATAATAAGAGCCTATAAAAAAAAAATAGTAGTATATGACATATTTTTTTAAATTTATTAGACATTTTTTTAATCTTACGAGTTAATAAATATATTATGTGGTAATGTTGTAACGGATCATATTAAAAAAAAAAAAAAAAAAAAAAAAATT